ACGTTAGGTTTGTATTTCTACAGAGCTGAGTATTGTGGTATCTAAGCTAATGGACTCGAGGGTTTTTAATTGCATGTTACTGCTATTTGAGGTACTTCCCAAGGGATTTTAGATGTCTTTATTCACTGACAGTGTTTGTTATGAGTAATCTATAGAGGTGAAAAAAAAATCTCAGACTGAAGGTTTGAAAGACCTGTAGTTAAACTAAAAGAGCTGTCATTTAGGTTGAGTGCTTCAGCAACGAATTTCTGAAAATGATCAAGACCTTTCAAGATCTGAGCTCTTAATTAAAATACTTAACAGAAGTGCCTTTTTACATTGCCCAATTCCCACCTCACCCTGTTGTCACCTGACCATCTTACCTAGCCCATTTTAGAGATGGTCTTCAAAACACTTCACTCCTGCGAGTCGTGCGTTTATCTTCATGCTTGCGTGCTTATGGCCAGTGGGACATCTTACAGTGGAAAATGAGAAAGCCCATGCCGAGTTAGACCCCGGTGTCCTCCCTTCGACAGTTGTGGGCCCCAGCGGCATTTTATTCAGCATAGGCATCCAAACTCTAGGAAGCTACAGCTTACAGATATTCTTAGCCAAAGAGTTTGTCAGTATCTTGATATTTAGTTGGTCTCAATGAGCCTTTCATCCACTAATTTGCCTAATCACTGCTTGAGACATTCATACTTCTGTTATCCAAACGTCCCGGGCACAAGTTCGCAATTATGCAAAGTGTAATAATAATAATTTCTTTGTTTTAACTGGCTGGCTGACCGTTCCATTTGGTACATCCTAGTTCTTGAGAGGAAGAGGTAATGAGACTAAGTGAATAATCGTTTCTAATTCACCTTTTCCATAACATTTGTGATTTTATAGATGTCTATTTTATTTTCCTTTTATCTATCTTCCCTTTCTTATGCTGAAGAAACCTAATCTATTTAATCTCTCCTTTTGCAGGAACTGCTTGTATCTACGATCATTTTCATTCTACCCTTTTTGGCAGCACTGTGTACACCTTCTCAATATGCAGGGCTTCATGCAGCGTGCAAGAGATGGGCGCATCACGACGTTATATGGGGACGTTGTGGTGTTTCCCATTTCATTCTTTTTTTCTTGTCCTAAAAAAATCCAAGAATCTATTTGACTTTTTGACGGATGAAGAGCATTAAGTCAATGTTTTCAATAAAATACTTCTTAAGGTCCCTTTTCTAAATGGTAAAGGCAAGAATCTATAGGGGTGCATTCCTCTTAAACACTGACTTTCATCCACCAGTTTATTGTGCTGTCACCCAGTATCTTAGAAATCCTTCTGGAGGTCTTTACATCCACAATGCTTTTGTAACATGAGCAAACTTCATTACCTTACTCTTCACTCACTTCTCTAGCACGATTCTGCATGTGTAAGTCCTGACACAGTTCTTACAGGACTGAGTAGGAGTCTCTGACATTTATTCTTACCCTGTTTCCTATTATTCAAACCGTGATTATTCCATGGGAAAAAAAAAGCGCAAAACAAAAAAAACCAAACAAACACCACCCAAAACCCCCCTCTTATTGGTTGCATTGAAAAACACTGCTGACGGTGCTTGTGAAATACTTTTTGGAGATTCAGATACATTATCAACATGATCATTTAGGTCCGTATGCTTCCTACATCCTAAAAATAATCTCCTGGGTTCGCAGGCCGTTATTTCCCTGTACAAAAAGTTCCCTCTTCCGTGCTCATTCATCTCTCTGCTAATTCTATTCTTCATTACAATTTCCATCTAACTGCTTGCTGAAGAAGTTTTAGTGGCTTGTCTCTAGTTCCTCTCAGTCTCCTTGGAGCTCTTTATAAAAATCACATCTGCCACCGTCCCTTCTTACAGTTCATCAAGCCCATCTTGGCAGTTAAGTTAGTCGCATCACAGGTAACACAAATTTGTTTCTGCAGTTTTTCAAAATTCTTGGATCAATATTATTTGCTTCTGGTGCTCTGATGCCATTCTGTATGAATGGTTTGTGTAAACTGAGACGCACCTCCAGAGCACACCCCCACCAACGCAGGCAGCAGCCCGGTGACCTCCTAAAGCTCTCCCACAGTTAATAGTTACAGATTTTCCCCTTGCCTCCCTTACACACCATTTGTTTGCCCCAGAGACGTCCTAGAAAATGTCTGCTTCTGATGTGTTTAGAAAAAAAAATGAATTACTAATTTTTATGACTTTAGTACATTGCTCAATCATTTCTGGCCTGCCTTGGTACTTTAGCACGTGAGTATAGCTAAATTCTGAGAGTCTGCGCTTCTCTATTTTAGCCTTTATTTTGCCATAGTTTCCACATTTTTCTTTACTGCTTGTAAATGTATTTCTTTATAAAATTTTCTTTTACTCTGCTGCTAACACTGCAATGTTTATAAAACTCCTTTTAAATAGTGGTCTTCTTTTTTTGTTGCTCCCTTTCCTCTGCGTCTCTAACCTGACCAGCTCACCAAAGCAGCTGCAAGCGTTCTGCCCCTTCAGCTTCTTCTTGCGTTTCTTTCTAATAAGCGCCTGCATGATCATCTCTTCCCTGAGACCCATACCCTGAGACATGGACTGACCCTTCAAATTCATCTTCAAGTTAAGCACATAAGTGAATATTTTGACAAGGACCACGGGTATGATAAAATCAGGAACAAAAGCTTGATCTTATCAATGTCAGTCCAGCTTTTTGTCAGATCTTTGACTACTACCCTTTACGGCACAAATTTTACCCAAGCTGTTCATGTTCATTAGCTATGAAAGTTAATACAGCTTTACAGGATCCAGCCCGTGTATATTTAGAGGGGACTGACAGCCCACACAGAAGTGCCGTGATGTTCTGTAGAATATTAACTGTATTGCTCTTCCAATTTCCTTCATCCCTGCACAATTTTGAGATATGATTTTGTTGATTACGAGCTGTTATTCTCTCACATTGGACTACAGTCAATGGCAAAATCATTAAAAGAGACTTAATGGAAGCCAAGTCAAGCCTGTTATAATTACCTTGGCTTCTGAAAAGAATAATTAAATTGTTAATAAAATTTTTACCTATAATCAGCAGGTGAGAAGAGAAAGATGTGACTGCTGGAAGTGTAAAGATTTCTACAGAGAAGGGGAAAGAGAGTTTGATCATAATTCAGTTGTTGGTAATTAATGTCTATAGAAGATTACTTACAACTAAAATCAACTTGAAATAATTATATTAAAGAGACTGAGTTCATTAACATCACTGATTTCAATATACAGCTGGGGTCCACAAGGATTAAAGCATTATGCCCACAATTATTTTGTGTTTTTATAACTACAGCTTGGACAAGCACTTCTGTAGATGCTATTTTTTTTCTTTCCAATGATTTCTGTCTTTTTGTTCAGCTGGAAGAGGAAAGCCATGTAATAACTATTGTACTGATGACCTTGGCTGAATCTGGAGACAATATTTGGATCTGTACTTCTGTCTGCAGATCTAAATTTATCTTCATTCCCTTTGTAGAGACTGAGTGGAGTAACTTTCCAAATCTTTCACACTTCCCAGACATTTATAAAACCTCCAGATGTCCAAAGAATAAAGCATAACAAAATCTGTCGTGGATAAACCAAAATATTGCTCCAGTGTATGGAGCCAGTGGCCAAGCTGTGTGTTTGAGCACCGCTGAAGAGGCAAACAAAGACACCTTTGGCTTCCTGCGACACCTGCGTGCTAGCCCCTGTTCTTACTCTGTCTCCTGCTTGCATTTGAAGGCTTGTCCAAGGGACCCAAGAATCTGTTCTCCCACTTCAAAACGGCTAGGTGCTGAGGAGCTCAGCCGTAATCTCTGTGGAGGAGGGATTCTCCCTTCAGTCGTTACTTAGGTTAGCCTTAAGAGACAGTGCCAAGCAGCTACAGATCAGGGGTGCACAAGGGCTACAATCAAGAGCGACCAGCTTTGTCACCCACATGCACAGACCAGTCCCCCCATACGCTGGCAGGCGCAGGAGGAACAAGCGCCCCCAGCATCCCCCGTATAGAAATTCCTGTCCATGGGAGGCAATGAGCAGGGTGTTCTGTTCATGAGATGCTGCATCCCTGAGCCCTGAATGTTACACACACTTTAAATGGGAAATGAACTTCCCTCTTAAGCCAGAAGGTTCTTGAAGTAGGACTCTTACTTTGAAGAGTTCAGAGTTTCATTTCCAAGGAGAGTAAAGAGAGTTTCACCGCATGTAGCTCTTTCTTTAAAGAGCTGAAGCTGCATTTTAATAGCGAGGCAATAAGCGCTGACTAGCGTCCAAGGAGAACAAGTTACTCTCACAAGGTTCAAAAACCTGGCTTACTTCCACCTGATCTCAAGAACAGGAGAATCCCACAACGAGATTTAAACTGGGGCCGTTAGCGCAAGGAAATTCATATTGAGGGCAAACATAGCGTTCCTAAATCATCCCCATTACCTTGGCATTATGCAGCAAAGTGCAGCTCTCTGCAAGGAGGGTTCAGCTCTCAGAAAAAGCATCCTGTTCTGCATAGCTTTACAGACAGATTACAAAAGTGTATTGGAACACAAATGTCTCAAAAATTGAGCCAGATATTTTGAAATGCCTCAAATTACAAATGTGCACATGCCATTTGGTATACAACTGGGCAGAAGAATGAAAGGCTGCATGTACACAGCAGGGCTTTGCAAAGGTTTGGGAATCTGGGTCAAGATTTACACCACCTATCAAAGTAAAGCCATATACTGCTATATTTTTTTCTGCAGCGACCCGAGAGCTTTGCTAGTTCATGCAAAACCGTTACTGATTTAAAACACAACTGAAAAGATGCTTGGAGAAGTGTACTCCGGTTATTTCTTCTCTGTATTCAGCGGCAGCATGACACCTTAGCGGTGACGCTGCAGCCCACGCTGCTCTGCACCATTAGAAGACCTTGACTGCTTTGCAAACACAAACCACTGAGCCAGCCAAGACGTGTTGAGCACCTCCCTCACCTCCTCCCACCCATCCTGGCTTTGGCCCAAGCCCCTCTGTTCCAGTTCCAACCACTTCCCTGTAGCACTCCTCTTTCTCTTTTAGCCTAACGCTAGGCATTCTGCGGCTTTCTTGCAGTCTTCAGCAAACCATCATCCCACTCAGCCCTGCCATGGTGCCACTTAAGAAATGCTGTCTGGCAAAGGCAGCACAAGACCTTTGCCTTTCACACGCCTCTCGTGCTTTCACTTCGCTGGGCCTGTATTTCAAAGCTGAGCAGACACCGCGCTGGAGTCCCTGCTGCCCAGGACGGCGCGTCCCTGCAGGGTTAGCCCTGCCTGCTGGCTGGCCGTGCTTGCCGTGAGGCTTCACGGAGCAGGAAGAGGCTTGGTCTTTAGCCTCAGTGTTTGACCCCTCACAAGGGTCTGGGTAAAGACCAGTCCTACAAAAAGTCATCCTACCTGGAGCTACAGCCTCTTCTCCCCCTCCAACATCAGGTGCACCCATCAGCCAGCACTCTACCTAGGCATGCGGCAAACACCGGCTCCCACCGCAGGAGGCAGTGGACAGGAATACACATGGTTCTGGAGGAGCTGTGACGGGAGAAGTCAGGTTTCCACTGCCAAGGAGCTGTGATGGGAGAAGTCAGGTTTCCACTGCCATCGCTGCCAAGGCTGCTGAAAGAGAAGGACAAGCATGTGACAGGAGCTGCGAGGGTTCAGGATAGGACAGATTGCAAGGGGGGGTGGCTGGGGGCAGAGGACAGGGCTGGACCCAGAGAGATAAATTTGTCAGGAAATGTAGCATCGTCATCCAAATTCTATTTAGCAGAAACCGGTTTCCATTTTCTCTGAGAGTTCTACAAAGAAATCGACATTATGTTTTAAAGTATGCTCAGACATTATGTTTTAAAAGAATATACAACATTCTAGAAGCACATTTTCATAAAAATTGAGCATCTCTTGGGTGACCCTTCTCCAAAGCAAAGGTGAGACGGTGAGCGTATGAGTTTATAACGTTGTTATAGGCACAGCTTCTCAGGAGCATGAGAAAAGGGCCGGGGTCTTGGCTTTTCACTCTGTAGTGCGAGTCGAAGACCGTGAGTAACACAATTATTTCTTTTCACCATGAGGTTTGAGGGCATTGATACAATACAGCTTTAGAAATAGTGATCATAGAGGAGTTTATTTTGCCTAGATTAATGGAGATATCTGTGTTATTCTTCAACTCTGGCATGACTTGACAATCTAAAAATTAGAGAAAATAATTTTGAGTAAAATAAAGCAAGTGCTTTGCAGTGAATGGGTATTTTGCAGTTATCTGTTCCTTGAGGGTCTTGGGTTATTTCAGTCAGCACTAATAATTAAGGCTTAACAGCTTTGTGCATCGGGATTGATAAACAGAAGTACAGGTGTGTTAATCAGCATGTCAAAAGTAATGCAAGAACCATATAAAGCACAGGAGGAAACAGTTCCTACTCATGGGATTCTTTTGACCCTGGGCTTCTTAATATTCTGAATTACCTTAACACTTTGTCATCGTAAGCAGTATCAACATCCATGCTTAGAGGCATTCTCTTTAGTTCATGTGTGTGTAGAAAGAAGGTTTCAGACTCATGCTGCATGCTCTCTTCCCAAGTCTAAGCCAGGTCTGTTGTCATTCAGATATTTCCTGTGTTGTAGCAAAACTGCAGAGTTGGCAAAATGAGATGGGTGCAATCCTGTTACTATTGCAATAACTTATTAGTAGTAGCCTGCATAATAATATTGTGAAAAATAGGTAGGTTGCCTCTATCCGGTCTTCATCTGTATTGGTCAGCGTGTGGTATTGAATTACGAGCTCTAACCACGCACTTACCGAAGCATCACTTGTGAAAAGACAAATGAATAATCACAGGCTTTGAAATTTTGTTAAGAGTCAGTATACCTGGACAGGGGGTTGTGGTTTGGTGTGAGCATCTTTGGGACATTTTTGCTGAATGATGTGGTATTATAAGTCAATTTTAAAGGTTTTCAGCTAAAACACAGGCTAAGTCTCTGGCGCTGGCTACACCTGCATAGCACATTGCAGAAAAACTGGTGTGCCTGAAGAAGATTGTGCGGGAGGGTGAGCGTCTGTTAGCTGTGCTTGCCCATCTAACGACTGCTCTCTCATGGAGACAAATGCACAATGATGCCTAGAGCAAGTCTGTCCATAGCAATAAATATTGTTGGTGAAAGCTAGCATGAAGCAGCTAATAGCTTTAATTATTTGATCCATTAATTTATTAGTTCTCATTTTTGCTGAGTGCTACCTGCCAGCTGCTTGAGTCATCGTATTGATATTCTGGTGAAAAGAGTAGGGAAGTAAAGCATTACAGCAATTAAAACCCCACTTACAGGAGAGCATGTTATCATCCAGCATATCTCAGAAAGGAATTATGACACAAGAATCTGCCTGTTGAGTGTCATTTTTTAATTTTACTGTAATGATTAAAAATAGACAATAACAGACAATGTTTGTAAAGGCCACGATAAAGCAGAGGGGATAAAAAACATTTGCAAACCTTTACCATGACATATGGTTCCTGATGTATGAACATGAAGCTGCTGAAGTTCTGACTGGTGAGATTAGAAGGAGGTACATACATGACATTGGCATTGATAATTGTCAGGATATTTAAACAGTTTATGCAATTGCGTATGACTCCTAAGTGGACAAGATTGCATATTCCTTTTTTAAATGTCATAGTTTGTAAGTCGTCTTACAGCTGAGAGTCTCCAAACTCCCTTGGAAACAGTGATCAACTCTGCTGCCACATTCACCTAACCAATAGTGCAATGCAGTAAACAGAACTGGGAACCACAGGACCTGCATTCGTTCCCATCTTTGGTTAGCGTAGGCAACTCATTTGCCTTCCCTTGGCATCAGCTTCTCCATTGGTCGCTGGCAATAACAACTCGTACTCTGAAGAGCTTTGAGACCTGCAGGGCAGTGGGTTTATCCCTGTTCCAGAGCTAGCTCAACAAAAGCGCTCCGAAGCATTTCATCCACGTTCGAAACAGTAAGTCAGTGTAGATTCAGAAAGATCTCCCGACTCCCAGCATTGTTGCTTTAACTAAAAAAATATCGCTCACCTTTCTTGTGTTCTGTAGGAAGTACATCGATGTTGTACCTTTACCTCTGCCGTGTAACGAATGCTCACATAAGCTCTGAATGTTCATCTCCTGAGAGATTCTACACCATTTACTTTGCACACTGGTGGCTTGGTCTCCTAGGGTAGAGCATTATCCTGGTAGCTTGCATCCTGTTTCCAAAAATGCACACAAGAGGAATATGTAATGGCATACAAAGATAAACTTGACTCTGCCTTTACTGGTGGTCACTGTAACGTGGCTGATTATAAGTCACACTTCTGGCACTGCCTTCTTCTAGTTACATACCCATTCCATTTCAATAGCTTTGATATTTATGGTAGCGTAATTAAAGATCGCTGATGTCTCCATTACAAACACCATTTTATGTAGTTTAAAAGCTGATCATAACATATATTTCCAGTAGATTTTGTTACTCATTTTTCAAAATGCCCCATGCAGTTGGTTTTAAGCCAAAGTTGCAAGAAAAAAGCTTACAATGAATTATTTTAGATCAAAAATAACTTTAAAATAGCAGTGTTCAAAATCTAACTTGACATGAATATAACATCTTCTGTGTAAAACACAAATAAATACAAGTAAGTCTGCTTTAAAGAAGTAGCCATTACAATGCAAAATTATTATTCTGAAATTTTTCTACACAACGTTTGCTCTACACAGCAAGTACTGTAAAATAAAATGTGCAGAACTAACCTTGCTCCACCTGAGTGATACCGAACTGATGATTATCGTTTAGCTCTTGCTTATTAAGCTACAGCAACCATGCTGCTTTGGGCAAGAAAAACTTTAAATAACTCGTTAGGCTCCTCTTTATCCAACACATCACAAACGCCTTAGCTCACATTGCCAGAGAGGGCACACACATGCACCAACGTACCACGTATTTGGGGAGCAGAAATTAGGAGAGAATAAGTTTTGTAAAATACTATTATTAATTAACGTAAGATTACAATTCAGTCTTAAATTTCTCACTCAGCAGCTCTCAAATAATTTTAAGTTTTGTCCATGAAGAACTTCAGGATCCAGGGCCATGAAGATGTTCTGAGGAATACCAATATACCCAATCTTTGTCCTCAGATGGGTACTATTGTGGAATTAATGTCACTATTAATGGAAGCCACCAACACGTGCTCTCATGCTCTCCAGAACTAACCTTGCTCCACCTGAGTGATACCGAACTGACAATTATCGTTTAGCTCTTGCTTATTAAGCTACAGCAACCATGCTGCTTTGGGCAAGAAAAACTTTAAATAACTCGTTAGGCTCCTCTTTATCCAACACATCACAAACGCCTTAGCTCACATTGCCAGAGAGGGCACACACATGCACCAACGTACCACGTATTTGGGGAGCAGAAATTAGGAGAGAATAAGTTTTGTAAAATACTATTATTAATTAACGTAAGATTACAATTCAGTCTTAAATTTCTCACTCAGCAGCTCTCAAATAATTTTAAGTTTTGTCCATGAAGAACTTCAGGATCCAGGGCCATGAAGATGTTCTGAGGAATACCAATATACCCAATCTTTGTCCTCAGATGGGTACTATTGTGGAATTAATGTCACTATTAATGGAAGCCACCAACACGTGCTCTCATGCTCTC